CAACCACGCTGAATATCAAGACCTGAACTCCAATAAACAGATAAGTAATTTTTTTTTGCATACTGGGATCCGTTATGTCAATGCTCCAGCTTAAAATCAATATACTGAGCAAGAGAAAAAGATTCATCTTAAATGAATCAGCTATGGTTTTAATCTTATGAAAAAAAACACTAAAAAGCGACTTTGCAATATTTACACCTTATTCTAAAAGGGAGACCCATTCTAGTAGTGTATGATGGTGATTGGGAAAGGAATCACATAATAATGAAAAAAAAAGCTATTCGCATAAGATACATCACCTACTCAATCAGACATTATGTGGTAGATCGATAACCCCCATAGCTCAAGATATTTAACGTATCGTATTCTGTAGCACAAATGCAAGCAGTGTTTTAAATGTTAAGCAACAGAAAAGGCACGCACCGGATGACCTTGGATCCTATGGTATCACTTATTGAAATTATCATAGGGATGAAAAGAAATCGGATGTGCCGTCGCCGGTTCAATTAATCATTTTTGGAATATTAATTAAAAAAAAGAAAAAGCAACAAGTTATTTGTTGCAAAATTACTTCATCAAGGAGCGCCAGTTCATAGGTTTGAACAAGTGAAGACCCTCGTAATCCGTGGTGATCACCATGCCGGGAATCTGGGAGTGCCAATGGACCTCCTTAGGGTGTATAAGGCCCTGGTGTTGAAACATGAGTTGATCTGGAATATCCGTGAGGTCCTTGCGGCCAAAGCAATCGCCGATGGCGCCTTGCTCTTCACTTAAATCACGTTCCAGGCTAAGATCCCACAGCGTACACTGCCCGTCGTCGCTAGTGACCGCGAGGACGCTTTCGTTGTGGTGTGAGAATTCCACAGATGTGATACTCTTTTTATGCCAGGATAGCCGCTGAATCGGATCTGCCGGGGTTAGCCTCCTTAGATCCCAAATTGCGACCGCGCCGCTGTCGGCACCGGTCACTAACAGATGTGAGGCCTGCCGGGCCGGATTCCAATCCGCGACGTTGATATCAGTCGGGTCGGCCTGCCAATGAAGCTGGCTCCCGCGCAGATCCCGCACATCCCACACCTCCACATCGCCGCCGGCGCGCGCCGTGATGAGGACCTCCGCCTGCGTGGGGCTCCACTGCACCTCCTCAATGGAGTTCATTCCCGTCATGTTGCTCGCAACGTTTTGCCAGCGCCCGTCCTCGGTGGGGTGCCAAACATAAAGGGCCCCGGCGACATCCCCCGAAGCGAAAACATGCGCCCGAACAGCGCTCCAACCCAGGCCGAAGCCCTCCACTTGATGGGTAGACGAGGGGGTGGAAAAGCGGAGGCTGGCGGGGCCCGCCCGCCGCGCCCGCTCCTTCGACCAGTTTGCGAAGTCCGTCAGGGCGCGGCGGTCGCTGTCGAGGTCGAAAACCTGCACGCGACCTGTGTCGGACCAGACCGCCACAAGCGCCGAACTCGACCCTCCCCCTACCGTCGCGGCCGGGTCGCAGCGCAGGCGATTCACCACCCCATGGTGGGGAATCCCCCGGTGGTAAACCGTCGGTTCGCCGTTGTTCAGCTCCTCGACGTCGTCCTCGGCGTCGTCGCCCTTCTGGCTGCCCTCCTCGCTCTCGCCGGGGTCACCGATGAAGCTGACCTCGCTGTCCGCGTCGCTGGGCTGGTCGTGCTTGGTCCTACCGAGGTTGCCCACGTGGAGGAGGACGAGCTGATTGGCCGCCGCCGCCTCGGCCTGGGTGCCACAGACCGCCATGAGGGAAAGGGGGTAGCGCGTCCGGCCCCCCCCCTCCCCATCCCGCACCACGTCAAAGGACAGACAGGGGTACTCGGTGCGGAGCTGGAAGAAGGCGTCGTAGGCCCTGGGCTCGTAGTCCAAGGGGGCGTACGTCGCGAGGAGGTCGCCCTGGTCCTGCCGCCAAACCGCAACCGGGCGGGA